TGATTTCCTTTTTTTTTTTTTTTTTTTTTTGTTGAACGTTGAATGTAATGTTTTTTTTTTTTGATGTCCTACCGGTTGTCCGAGGCTCATCCATAAAGTCCGAGGCTTGGGAATCATCGGGCTACCGGTAGTCCGAGCTTCGGACTCTATAGCTGAGCGAGGTACTGGTGGTTTAAATATTGTCCAAAGTATAGGGAAGCCCGTTTCACTGCCCAAGGGTCAAAAGGCAGCCGCCGGTAGGGGTCGCAACTGCCCCTACCACTAGGCCATGTGGGGAAGTGTGCCCGCACCATCAGGAAACTCCCACACCACATGAGCCTATGGCAGAGGTTGCGGGCCAGTGCCTAGTTAGTTGTCCAGGGACTGCCTGTGTTAGAGTCTCTCTAGGCACTTCCCTCACACGACTGGCAGAAGAATTGAAGGAGAGGATGCCGGCCTGGGCCAAAATGAAGAAGGAGAGTAAGGGACAAGTAGTTTTAGTAGATTTAGAAGTGTTCAGGAGTAGAGTGGGGACCCTCATAGATACAGGGGCTACCCGTAGCTACAACAGCCGTAGAGCGTTAAAGAAGTCGAGTCTAGGTTTGAAAGTCCAGAAATTGGAAGACCCCATAGTCAGTGTCCTAGCAGACAATCCCACAATGCGTGTCGAGGATTACGTAGAGGGAGTCCAAGCGTATCTTCGCCTAGAAAAGGATGGGAAGGTGGAAAAAGTTTTCCATTCCCTGACTCTCCTCGTAGAAGACAACATCCCTTTCGATGTAGTCCTAGGTATGGACTGGGGAGAGGCGGCAGGGGCCACACTCCACTTAAGAGAGCATGAGTGTAGGTTCCTTAGTCCGTCAGGCGAGGTCAAGACTGCCCGCATGTTCCATGTGTGAGGGGTAGACAACTCCCTGGCACATTGCTGTCTCAGTTTCCCCGCGTTCACACGATTAGTCAAAAAGGAGCAATTAGAGGAGCAGGTCTTTGTAGCCTACGTGAGGCCTGTCACTGAGCCTAAAGAGGATCAACCAGTGGACCCAACCATTGACAAGTTGTTGGAAGAATTTAAGGACTTAGCAGAGCCACCGACAAGAGTAGTGTCGCGGCCGATCCAGCACCATATAAAGATACAGCCTGGCAGTAGGACTCGTAAGGGAGCAGTCTACAGGATGTCCCCAAGGGAGTTAGAGGAGTTGCGCAATCAGTTGGATAAACTCCTCGAAAAGGGTTGGATTAGGCTCAGTTCATGTCCTTTTGGAGCACCAGTGTTATTTGTCCCCAAAAAGGAGGGAGAGTTGCGTATGTGTATAGATTATAGGGGTCTAAATGCTATTACGATGAAGAATGTTGAGCCGCTGCCCAGGATAGACGATCTCTTAGATCGGGTGTAGGGCTGCAGGTATTTTTCGAAGATAGATTTGAAGTCCGGATATCATCAGATAGAGGTTCATCCTGATGACCAGTACAAACTGCCTTTCGGACTAGATATGGGCATTATGAGTTCATAGTGATGCCCTTTGGACTGACCAATGCACCAGCCACATTTCAGCGCTATATGAATGATGTGTTTAGGCCTTTGTTAGATAGATTCGTCGTAGTTTATTTAGACAATATCTTAGTTTTCAGTAGGACCCTCCAAGAGCATCAAGGTTATTTAAGGCAGGTCTTGGAGAAGCTGAGAGAGGCTAACTTCAAGATCAATGCCAAGAAGTGTGAGTGGGCCAAGACAAAGTCTTGTACTTGGCCACGTTTTAGACGGAGATGGGATTACACCTGAGGACAGCAAGATAGTGGCGATTCGAGACTAGTCAACGCCCCGCACACTGACAGAATTGCGGTCGTTCTTAGGCCTAGCTAACTATTATAGAAAGTTCGTGAGGAACTTCTCTATTATTGTCGCTCCCCTTCGCAAGTTGCTAAAAAAGAAGCGATCGGGACGTGGGACAAAGATTGTACGTCCGCGCTCAAGAAGTTAAAGCGTGCGTTGATAGAGTACCTTGTCCTCAAGGTAGCAGATTCGTACTTGCCATTTGTCGTCACCACGGACGCGAGTCGGTATGGTATAGGCGCTGTGTTGCAGCAGGACGACGACAATGGCTATAGACCCGTGGAGTTCATGTCAGCGAGGATGCCCTCAGAGAAGGTAGCTACCTCGACTTACGAGAGAGAACTCTACGCAGGCAGGCGTTAGAGCACTGGAAGCATTACCTACTTGGGAGGCACTTCAAACTTTTTTCAGACAACGAGACTCTTAGGTGGCTGAAGACGCAAGCCAAGATGACACCTAAGTTGACTAGGTGGGCCGCTGAGATAGACCAGTATGACTTTGAGCTCAAACCGGTCAAAGGCAAGTATAACGTAGTTGCGGATGCGCTAAGTAGGAGAGCAGACTACTTTGGAGTTATAGTTCATTATCTGGATATAGGGACTGACCTGCAAGAGAAAGTAAGACATGCGTATGCGCAAGGCCTATTTAAGGTGACCTCCTCAAGAAAGTTAAGGAGGCCCCGGAGACTGAACCACACTACCCCACTACAGAGGGATTATTGTTCGAGAAGACCAATGTAATAGACCGTCTGTGCGTCCCTAACAGTGAGGAGATCCGTAGTTTGATCTTGGGGGAGTGCCACAACACCGAGGGACATTTTGGTTGGCAGAAGACGTTAGCCAACTTGATGCACGCGTATAATTGGCCAGGGATGAAAGCTGACTGCATAGAGTATGTCCGCAGTTGCAAAGTATGCCAGAGGAATAAGACCACTACATGTGCCCGTCTAGGTCTTCTTCGACCATTGCCCATTCCTGACCAGCCTGGCGACTCAGTGTCCATTGATATTATGGATGCTGGCGTCAAGAGTAGGCATGGTAAGAGCCAAGTCGTGGTGATAGTTGATAGGTTTAGTAAATATGCAGTTTTTGTTCCTTTGCTTGCAGAGGCACGTACTGATTTAGTGATTCAGAAGTTTTTTTATCATTGGGTCAGTGATCACGGGAGTCCGTTGTCTATAGTTAGCAATAGAGACACCCGGTTAACTAGTCAGAACTGGCAATAATTGTATGAAAGTCTACGGGTCAAAGTTGCTAATGTCATCTGGCCGTCATCCAGAGACCAACGGTCAGACGGAGCAATTGAATAAAATCTTGCAACAAGTTTTGCGCATGTATATTAAGACCGGATCAGATCAACTTGGATGAAATGTTGTCGACGATAGTCAGAGCGTATAACAGTAGCGTGCACTTAGCCACCTGTCGTACTCCCAATGAGTTGCTTAAGTCCTTTAGACCGCGCAGACCGTTTGAGGGGCTTAACCGGGATCAGATTCATAGGCTACCGCCCGGTACTAGGGAGTTTGCAATACAGCACGAGAAAGAATTAGCTACCGGCATTGAAAACTTCAGGAAGGCCCAACACCGAATGATAGAGCAGGCTAACAAGCACCGTCGCCCATCGCAGTTTCAAGTAGGCGACTTAATCTGGGTCAAGTCCAAAGAGTTTGCTCGTGAGGAAAACATTTCGCAGAAGTTACTGCCAGCTTACAGAGGACCGTGGCCAGTTATAGAAGTTAAGGGCGGAGAGGATGGACCGTCCTATACGATAGAGATCCCAGCACACCTCCACACCTACCCTGTGTTCCATGCGTCGAAGTTATTGCCGTGTGTCACAAGTCAACAGTTTCCATCAAGAAGATCCATGAACCCCCCGGACATGGATGGAAGATATGACATTGAGGGCATTGTAGGTGAAGACGTATTCAGAACAGGAGGTGGAGGTCGTCCACAGAAATAGTATAAGGTCCGATTTGCTTATCAGGAACCTGAGGACGACCGCTGGTTTACTAGAACTGAACTTCTAGGAACAACTCCCGACGTAGTTAGAGCCTACGAGAGAGAAAGGAAAAGTAAAAATCCGGCCTTGGACTGGATTATTCTCGGAGGACCTCGAATTTAGGCTGGGGGGAGTGAAACGGTATTCACCTGTTAGCAGTAGCGAATGCAGATCCCAGGGTTCGATCCCTAGTTCTTACCTTACCTGTGTACAGTAYCTGTGTCGACCCCGAGAGTTGAACCCGTGACCTGTGTATTCACAACAGTTGGTAGGCTGTCGTAGGTCCGTAGGTTGAAGGGGTTCGATCTGTAGACCTGTAGGATAGAGGTCTTAGTGAGCTCTAGAAGTCGTAGCTGTAGCTGTTCTGAGAGGTCAAGGTCGTAGCTGCTACAGTCCTGAAGGGTCAAGGTCATAGCTGCTACAGTGTTCGAAAGGCCAAGCCCACAAACTTCTGGAAGGTCCGAAGTGGCCTTTCGAAGTTTGCTCACGTTTAGACAGAGGCAAGTGGGCAAGTGGTGATCCCAACTGCGGTATGTCGGCAGTGCGACTGCATCGAGTTGGCAGTACAAACCCATGCAGTCAGCGGTACCGGTCCCAGTCAGTCAAAGTCCAGTCAAACAAGTACCGTGTGAGACTGTGTGCACCAAGGGCATGGAAAAGGGGCAGGCCAACGAGTTACAGAAGTATAAATCAAGAGGCAGTGCCCAGCCATTCATTCATTCCTGCGTAAGCCATGCGGAAGTGCTGCTTGAGCGACTTGTGCGAGGTGGTCTGCAGAGCGCCCGAGGACAAAGTGGGCAAAGGAGAGGTTGTGTAGCCATAGCCAGCAGGGTTGAGCGGCCATAGCCACCATAGGTGGTAGGCGAGTGTAGTGTGTGCGGGTGTGTGATACAGTGTGTCGCGTGTGGGATATCCAGGGTGATCCTGAGTTGAGTGTGTGTGAACAGCGGAGTTGAGCACAGTGACGAACAGAGAATTGTCATAGGCTGTTGAAGCGAGCATGTATCTGAACTGTGTTTCCGACTTCCCTATCTCTGAGCTTTGAGTGGGCGCTGAGCGCCAGTGTGACTTGCCATCTGTTTGCGTGAATGCTGAGTGGGAAAGTAAGCGAGTCTGATTGCAGCTACTACAGGAGCGCCCAAATTCCTCTGACAAGAAACGTTTCTACTCTATTTTTTTTTCCGCGGCCGATAGCTGGGACAAGAAACTGACTTACGACCTTGATTCATTGTTGGACAAAGAAAAGGGAGGGTAAATTCCATTTGACGTGATGCCATCCAGGTACAGTTACTTTGACAGAGGAGACAGTGGAACCCCCAAAACAAACAGATACATGCAGATAAACCACACAAAATGAGGAAAGGAGAAGCCGTGCTCCTCCATGAATGTTTGGACTGATTTCCCCCTCCCTGTTTGTTGTTGTTTTGTCGACTTCGTGCTGGGCTTGCCAGTATCTGGAGGAGGAACTGGGCTTTGAAGCGGTGAAGATGATGGCGACTCTGAAGCGGGCGCTTGATCCTGACAATATTATGAACCCAGGCAAAGTACTTCCAAAGCAATATTGCTGCTAACGTTAATCCACCACAGTTTGCTCAGAAAGGTTTGTACACCTTACGCCGCAGAAACGCATCACAGTCTCAACATGGCGGAAGCAAACTGTGTTTTCCCCCCAAACAAACAGAAGGCTCTCAAGTTCAGTTGTGTGTGTGCAAAGTAACTACTGCAATGTTTCCTGGCATAGCATTGATTTTTATTTCTATTTTGACAATTGGGTCTTCCTCCTCACGATACCCCCCCCTCCCTTCTTTGATCAATTCTACCAGGTGCACCCCCTACTCCCTGAGTCCTACCGAGTGTCTACCACTCAGGACTATCACCCTTCACCACTTCATTCAGTCTTTTATGTATAAATGACGAAGTAGGGCAAAGCAAAGCAAAGGAAAGGAAGGCAAAGGAAAGCTGAGCCAAGAGTGAGCTCGAAGTATATCAAGTAAAGCTTCTGGATGTTCCCGGTGGGTTTGAAAAGGAGCCATGGAAAATGAACAAAGGGCCTCGTTCCACACTACTAGAGAATTCTTACATTGTAAGGACGCCTGCACCTGGGGATCGTGATTAATTTACCCTAAGTTGATTTTTCGTTCCACAACCCCTACACGAAACCCTAAAGACCACTGCCCTTGAAACTCGAGGGCTGACGTGTTGATGTCGGAAACCACTCGTCTTTTGGTGACAAAACACAGAAAAACAAAAAAAATCATGTGTTACGCATTTTGTAGGGTCGCGCCCTTGAGTTTCAAGTGACCTCCAGAGAGGTGTTGGAAGAAATGGCTGGACGGACCCTACACAGCAGAAATGCGGAAACATTGGGGACTTCCACTTCGTTGTCATTCGGGCGCGGTGGAACGATGCTTCCCCTATGGTCCTTACATTTCAAGTGGTGTGGAACGAGGCCCATAGAAGGTGGTTTTCAGATGAGCTTTGGTGGGATGTCTGAGGGCATACTCAGACTAGGACTTTTCATGGAATGCTTCATTTTAGGGGCCTCGTTCCACACCATCTGACTGCAATGTAGAGCCAAACAAATCGAGGAAAGTCCCAGTGGGATGAGTTGGGCCTGGGACGAGGAATTTGCAGCCACATTACAAGGGTAGGGTTGCTGCAATCTACCTTAAGCCACCAATCCTTTCCCACTTATTTTGTTCCGATGAGGCAGTTAAGCCGCCAATACCTTTCTCATACATCGGTCGTGGGCCCTGCGCGCCAAGGGCAGCCGATGTATCTGGCTGTCGGTGGAGGCCGAATCGGGCCTCCGTGTTAACCACCACACCTCTGTTTTCCAAGCGTGGAAAGGTACCGGCGGTTAAACGACCAGTACTTGGCCCAGCTATGGGCTGTGGAAAAAAATAGAGTAGAAACATTTCTAGTCAGATGAATTTGGGCACTCCTGTACTGGCCCGCACGTTTCCTAAAATTGTGGCTTGTTAATGGGCACTACTTTAGGAAGTACTGGTGGTTTAAAGACCTCGAGGCTTTCGGGGCTCACGAAAAGGCTGCTGGCGCCAGCCAAAAAAAAGGGATTTTGCACCCACGCTGGTCCAACAACAAGTGGCACGAGGCAGAAACCGGCATGGGGAAACCGAGGAGCGGAAGTTCTGATGGTTTAAACCACCAGTGGCTTGTAGAAGAATGGCAGTGCCTGTCAGGCTGCTTGTAGAAGATTTGCAGTGCCAACTTTTTGAGCACACGAACCTCCAGCGAGCTTTGGGACTTTCAGGATCGGCTTAAAAAGAGGTTGGGTGAAAGAGCCCCTAACCCCAGCTGGACTGATGCTTAAACCGCCAGTACACAGCCCCAGCCTTGGAGAAAGATTTTGTCACCATAAGAAAGTCTCGCATCAATGGCCAGCATGGCTTTTTGGGCCTGGTGTCAGGCCAGCTGCCTCAGGCGCCCACGTACTGTGGTTCAAAAATTCATGTTTATGTTCAAAGCACCAGTACACCACACATCGGCCCGCGGGTGTCCGCATGAAACCCGCACCACTTTGGAGGCCGCCGATTTTTTTTTTCAAAGGCGCCCCACGTCGCGCTGCCCCTCCGAGTTTTGCTTGTGGCGACAAAAACTTTCTGCAAGGCTGGGGAACATGCAACCAGCAGTACTTTAGGCAAACGAGTGGTTCAAGAACTGTTAGACCACGCCAAGAGTGGTGGCGCAGCCAGGGGCTTTCCACCGTTGATGTGGAGCACGGGTTTGGGTATAGATTGGTTTATTTGCCATGCCCGGAAGGGGGGCTGAGGCTGTTAGGGTCGAGGGCTTAAATGTTGTGGGTGGCCCCAAGTCCCAGAGTTTGTCCCAAAAGGTGCCAGTGTCAG